CATCATCAACCATCAATCTCATTACTCACACTAAGTCACAATTAACTTGGTCACAAATCATAAAGTTTCAACAAAGTCACATGCATTGTAAATAACCAATTCAAAATTTAGATACATACATACATAGATACATACATACATATATATATATATATATATATATTCTTTTATTTCACTAACATAATTAATTAACATACAAGTGCATAAAATAGATTTTTCCTTGTTACCTCAACCTTTAAGAGGTCAAAGGTTACCCCTCAAATTACAACACTTCCAAAGCTTTCTAAAGCTTGAATGGTATAAAAAAAAATCTACAATTGATCATATCCCAATATATCAATAATATTATTAACACAATTTTCACTTATACTCTAACACCTAAGTATTTATTTTATTTTATTTTGTTTTTTAAGACCTTCGTCTTAGCCTCTTGAGTTTTAAAATTTAATTTCATATATTTGAACCTATCTACTTAGTTCAATAGTCTCCCTCACAATAATTTCATTGAAGTTTAGCTAAAAACATCATTTAAATAATTTTCTAATATCAAAATTTTCCTTTTTATTCCAAAAATTCACACATAAGAATACCCAAAAATTGCAAATTTAATTTCAAACCTAGAATCATTATTCTATAGCCATAATAATTTATTTTACATCTCAAATAATCATCTAAATATTAACAAATCAATTTATATTTTTAGATTTAACCAAAAATCTACCCATAAGGATCTAGGGATAAACTCAAATGCCTCAAATTTCAATTCTATCAACAAAATAATACTCTAAAATATTTATTACACTACTAACAATCTCAACAACTAGATTTACTCATTAAAAATTTATCCCCCTTTTAAACCCTAAATTTTTCAAAATCTCAAAAATCTGCAGCTCAAAGGGAAAAACGACTAAAAAAAATGTTTAAAACACTTACTTAGTTTTAGAATACTTAAAATCTCATATAAAATATCCTATTATAGAGTTTTATCTTCTAAATCAGTCATCCTTTTCGTCGCACGGTGTCGCTCTCATCTCTTTATTTGCACGCAAGGAAATGAAGAAAGAAGGAAGAGAAATGAAAATGACATATGGGCATGAGTGATTTTTAAAAAAAAATATGGGTCCCACATGCTTTTTCCTCCTTCATCCTTATTTATTTATTAGCCTTTTATACCTTACACACACATGGATTGTACAATCTATTTTTCCCAGCCACTTTCTTTTGTTTCTTTCTCTTTCTTCTTTTTTTTATTATATCAAACGCGCGCGCACACACACACTCACAATGAACCTCCCCATCCCCCTTCTTATTTTATTTTATTTTTTTTCCTTTTCCTTCCTCTTTCTTTCTTCTTTTTTTAATAATATTATTATTACTATTTCTATTTACTATAAAATCATAACTTAGGATTTAATCTAAATTAAACCTAATAATAATATTTTAATTAAAATTATTTATATCTAAATATTCCTCCAAAATTACTCATTTGCTCTAAATTAATTTAATTAACCTTAGGTTAATTTTTGGGATGTCACATGCAGCAATAAAATTAGTTCATGATAATGTGTATTTATATGTTGAAGAATGCTATACTATCCATGCACAAGAAAAAATTTACAGTTTTACAATGATTCCGGTGGAAACCATTGACATGCTTTAGTTGATCGAGTTACATTATGAAGATTATGAAAACAATACCTTTTTGGAACCACCACTAACTACACATCCCCCTGGCCGACCACCTATCAAGCGAAGAGAGTCACAGTTTCAAAATAAAAAGGTGTATTATTGCTCAAGATGTAATCAAGTTGGACATACCAAGAATAGATATAGGAATCCCAATCCAATGTAGGGATCGAGAGGGAGTGAAAACCATATGCATATTAGTTGGTTTGAAATTAAAATGCATATGATTTTTATTTATTTTGTACATTTTGCTATTGAATGACCTTTTGTACAGACACCCACCTCATAATTTTTTTGTACTTGTGGAGGTGACAAGTTATGTAAATGGGATTGCAGTCTATGTCGTTTTTTGGTAAGCAGACTGCATAGGTACCATTTAGGTAGATGGGATTTTTTTTGTGTAAAAATGGATGCAAATATGGTGTATATGTATTGAAATCAATGTAATATAATGCTGATGAAAATTTTAGGTCTAAATTTATGCAAGTGTAAATGCTGTCATGACATAAGACTGCTGAATTCACCAATGTAGCATACGGATATTGCTAATGTAACTACTAATAACATAGAAACTCACTTGGGATTAAATTTTTTCACAGTATTTTAGACATTTAAGAGACTTATCAAATAATAGGATCCAATAGCATTAGCTAGGAATTTTATATCCGAAGCAAGAGAAATTCCTACCATATGTTGTGAAATGAATAACCCTACTTGGGTATCATTGTTTATCAAAAGATACCTATCAGAAATCAGGATCCAGCAACCTTACTTAAGAATTCTCTAACCTGAGTTGGAAAAGTAGCTAATGTATAATGTGAAATCTCCTAACATGACTTAGGAACTCTTTGTTTAAGGGTAAGTCTTGCCATAAATTGGGTTCCTGGAACCTTATTTGAGAATTCCCTAACCTACCTTGGAAAACTAACATAGGTTGTGAACGTACCTAAAGTGACTTGGGAATTCATTAAGGATAGGTCTCATCACAAGTTGGGTTCTAGCAAAGTCATTTAGGATTGTCCTAAACTTACTTGGGAAAAAGCTGAACGTATGTTTTAAAAAAGCCTAATGAGACTTGAGAATTCACTACGTAAGGATAAGCCATTTAGCATAAGTTTTGTTCCAGCAACGTTACTTAGGAATTTGGTAACATAAGTTGGGAAAGTAACTAACATATGTTGTGAAAGTTCCTAACGTGACTTGAAAATTTATTATTTGATCAAAATTGACGTGGCATAACTTGGGTTCTAGAAAAGTCACTTGGGATTGTCCTAACCTAACTTGAAAAAAAGCTGAACGTATGTTTTGAAAGAGCCTAACATGACTTGAGAATTCACTGCGTAAGGATAAGCCATTTGGCACAAGTTTTGTTCTAGCAGCCTCACTTGAGAATTTAGTAACATAAGTTAGAAAAGTAACTAACATACGTTGTGAAAGTTCCTAATGTGACTTGGGAATTTCTTATTTGATGAAAAATGATGTGGCACAAGTTGGGGTCCAATAAAGTCACTTAGGATTGTCCTAACCTAACTTGAAAAAAATTTAAATGTATATTTTGAAAGAGCCTAACATGAATTAAGAATTCATTGTGTAACGATAAGTCACTAGGCACAATTCGTGTTCCACCAACCTCATTTGGGAATTCTGTAACATATTTTGTGAAAAAAACTGAATGTCAGTTTTGAAAGTAACATAAGTCAATGATAATCAAGAATGGTTTGTCAAATTTCTTGTACATGTAGCCGAAGTTTTTTTTTAAATTAATTACTGTATCATATACATGAAGCCATAAAAAAATACTTAATTATATAAAGATGTAATTTACATATTACAATTGTTTATATTATGATTTCAATCTTTTCGATCCTGCATGCCCAACATTCAAAATGGACGTCATGACTTGAGAGCCCACTCTTTTGTGTGGATAAGTCCAGCCAATACAATACCCCACTCCTCATTTCACTCAATTATTCCTACACAATTAGATAAAGTCAACTCACAAGACACAAAATTGCCACACATAGAAATTATATCTTGACTTTAACATTTGTTCCTACCACTGTTAACAAAGACATAGTAAGGCCGCCCCATTCCACTCGTTCAATATTATTCCAATGTCTCAGGAAAAAAGATGATATACATTCTACAATTAGATCTACAAAAAATATAAAATCTATCAGTACTTAGTTGGAAAATATACATATAATTACATGTACACAATTTCAGATGTTTTACTCACGTTGTCGGTTGCTATTCCATAGGCACCACTTTCAATTCTAGGTCATAATTGTCATCAACAAGTTCAGGTTTTAGTTTCATTAATATTTCTACAAACCTATTTTTTTGAGAATAATAACAAAGTGAATGAGAAGCTCTCACCAATAAAATTTTACATGACATTACATGGGAAAAGACATACCATGAAGTATGCCATTTTTTCCTTCTCTTTTGATAATAGAGCTTCCTTCACTTTCTTTATATTCTTCTTTTTCTTCTTTGATTCTTTATCAGACGGTAGCATCAAGTCTAGCATGTACATTATGGCTATTTTTGGCTCCATAACATAGCAAAACTAGTGTAATGCAAATATTATAGGGAAAAAAAATGAAATCATAATCTCCTATATTATACCAATATTAGTTGGCATAAAGTCCTTCAAATGACTATCCAAGTCCTATCATTTTTGTTGGTGAATTATGGTAATGAAAAATTTAATACTTATAACTTGTAAGCACCTAATAAAATAAAATAATTAAACCGTAAGACAAACTATAAAATCTGGATAAAAAATGTGTCACCACATAACTTGATCCTGTTTCTTTTTCTCATTAACCAAACATATTCCAATTAATGTAACAACCTACATAAAAAATAATAGTTACATTAAAATTTTACTATTACTTGATCTATTTTAACTAGCACACTTTCTCACTGAACTACTAATCCATTATCTAGGACCTAGACACTTGCATTCATATCTTGTTAGATAATACTGCTCAATCTCCATAATTTTTCTATTAAAGAAAACAAAATTATATCAACCAATCAATTGTGAACATATCAACTAGTAAGGTTGAATATCATACTCATGTCCTTCATTTGGTGGAATAGACTTTATGCAGTATTGGTAAACTTCTTTCTCTGTACATTATCTTCTTTCTTCACGTCCTATTTTTGCCTTCCCTCTATCATCTAAAAAGAGTGAATGAATAGTGCTTACTATTTGTCATTGTGACCTTAGTGTCATTTCACCCTTAGAATTTGCTTTTCCACTTCTTCTTCTTGTGCACCTAATTCTCCGCTTCTACTTGTCCTTACTCTTCTTCCTTTTCATCATCTTTGAATCCCCCTTCCTCTTTATTTTTATCTCCTTCCACTTGTCCTTTCTTGTCTTCCTTTTCATCTTCCCCGAATCCCCCTTCATCTTCCTTTTCATCTCTTACCGATTCTCCTTCCTCTTCTTTATCTTCATGTCCTAAATCTTCCTCCTCTTCCTCTTTACCATCATGGTTTTGAACAACTTCCTCTCCTCTTCTTTTACCTTGAAGCTTGAGGAGTCTTTGTTTAATTTCATGGGTAAAATTCACAACATCTCTGTATATTTCTTTTATGTCCTGCACCATATAAATTATCATATATTTAAAATTACATAAAACATAACTTTTCTAAGTAACAACCATCATTTTGCCTTTACCAGATCATAAAATGAATTCATTTCTGGAAGCTCTACTAAGAAGCTATCATGTCCTTGAAAAGGGTGATATAAAATGCCATGATCATTTGCCTTCTCAAGTTGAACTCGTGCTGTCACTCTCTCTTTTGTCTAATGTTCCAAAGCACCTTCTTGCGATGGCACCTCAATTGGCTTTAATGGAAACATTTGAAAGTAGAAAATCTATATATTTACAACTATGTCATATAACCCATAGAATTTTGTTTAAAATAATTAACTTATAACAAATTACATCTTAATTCATCCATATACCACAAGAAGAAATAAGCATCCTCTAACCGTTTTTTTATGCCCATCCTTTTTATCCCATGTTTATATTTGACTACCTCCTTTCCAAGCTTATATAGTATAAAGGATGACTAATTATAACATACAGTTCCTAAATTTGATCCGGACATGACCTTCAATAATTTATCACTTATCTTGAAACTTGAACTTTGACAAAGAAAATTTTCTAAGCAATAGGGAATGAAGAGAAACTCAAATATATTATTTTATTTTCTCGAGAGTATCCTATCCTTTATTATGTTATAGGATACTCTTTTAAAGTCTTTGTTTAAGGAATTTAACTTATTCTTATCCCCATTCATATCAACCATTTCCCTATCATTAGGAAAGCTAAGTAAGGCATGAACTGCTTTGCTATTGATGACTTTCCTTTGACCTCTAATGAAAAGGGATGATGTAGGAGGATCAAATGCCTTCATCACTTCATCGCATAAATTTCTGGGCAACTTTTGACATTTAATATTTAAAAGCTTACCAAAACTTATTTTATTAACCCTATCTTTCAAGGATTTTTGCTTTTTGATATAATAAAAAACTCCCTTTATCTTTGTTGGAGAACACCTTATCTTAAATGGAATCTATCTAAGAAAAACAAGTTAGCACCATTACTTAAATTCATCACATTTTTCATGCTTGAGGTCATAAATAACGTACCTCATAAGTTTTTACACCAGTCTTTTCCTCCTTAGCTAGACGCTTATAATGATCTTGTTCTTCTGATGATAACTTTTTCCATGCTGTAATTGCTTTTACATTAAGTTTCTTCAGATCATTTCCTTAGGTCGTATACTTGCCACGATATACCTCTTTAAACTTGCTTAAGCCAGAACAAATTTTTTACCTTAAAGAATTTTCTTTTCTTTTAGCCATTGTCCTGCACACAAAGAATGAGAGTAAAAAGCAAACTACTATTAAATGTATCTAAAACAAAGTTTATTTTCTTTTAGCTAGTGTCCTATAAAGCTCATGAGACACGTCAAAGAGCAAATTCACAAGCAACTTAACTGCAATTATAGCAATAGAATCTTGTTAATGAAAAATGTTGGTGATGAAAGCCTATAGCCTGACATTAAACTCGTAGAATGTATTTTTATTGGACTAATCAGAATGCACTTAAGTTGTGTGTTTTCTCTTTTATCATTATCAACAACAGTGTTGCATTGAAAAGTCAAAACTTTGCGCTTGTTTTTCTATACCTTTTCTTCAAGTTAAAAAAAATAAGTGTAAGAAGACCTAAAATTATCCAGTAATGAGATTCCATCATAAGGTCAGATAATGCTTACATTCTTCTCTCCACAGATAATCCATTCAACTATATCAATAATGAAAATGCTTAAATCCCTAAAGATCTAAATGCAATCCCATGCAAACACATGTCATGCCTATGGCACTTTTTAAAGCATATGTAATGGGTTCTCAACTTCTTATCACATTTAATACAACTATCTATTTTGTTTCATGAAGCATTTTTTTTACAAAATTGAAGTTGTAAATAAGATCAATTTTTTTAGATCTTGGAAGATTATCCTTTGATACATCTCTCTCATTCAGCACCTCAAGAATTTTCCTGATAAAAAACACTTGAACTGGCTAACACAACTCACCATTACACTTCTTTCGCATTACCTTCTAGAATGGATCATTATTAAAAGTAAACTATGAAAGTACAACATCTTCTAAACTAGAAAATATAGGTCAAAATTCAGGTCATTCAGGTAGAATTGTTTTATTGAGTATGCCATTATGATTTATCAAGCAGTTGGAAGGGAAAATTCATATTTTTGGACTTATTATACCAACTTCTATTTCCACTATTTATTCAGCATATATAAGGGGATCATTTCACCAGAAGAACTATTTATTTTTCTTGTTATTCTTAAATAAATTTCCCTTAACATAAAAATAAAAATAAAGAAATAAATAGCAACAGTAGAAGAAGAAATGAATAATGACTATACAAACAAAGTATGCATATTTTTTGCCAAGCAATGTTCTAAATTGCCATTATCATAGCTCAGCCAGCAAAAGAATAGAGGGAGGGAGGAAGAGGTAGAGGCACCAACCAAGAAAGCATGGAAGAGATAGTCAACCAACAAAGGACGTATATCGAACTCACGTGTCAGAAATGGAACCAACACTGGAGGACGTCTTACTAGTGATTGCACAACCCTGGAGCTAATATGGAGAATGTGATGAATGCCAAAGAAAACAGACGAACATGATGAGAAGCTACAACTGAAGGAGACATCAAAACAGAGCACAAATAGGGCTCTGGTGCACAGGTATATTTGTTTTTCCTCTCAGGGGCATTTTCAACAATTTACATTGTTTTTACTGTAGGTCCTTAATTAGAATTTCCATATTTTACAGTCCCCAACTGAAATTAATGTCCTTAGAAGGTCCTTAATTATCATTTTTCCTAGATTATATGTCTAACTCTATTATTGAAACTGTAGCTAGACTTATTGTACTAAAAAAAAATAGGGACCTATACCATTTCACACTACCTCCCTCCCTTTTTATTTGACAATTTTAGAATGTTTTCATGTTCCATTTATAAGATATCTTATAAAATCAAGGCATATTAATATGCTTTTCTTTTTCCCAAACATTCCCTTAGCTAGAAAAACAGTCCTTTTAATTAATTAAGAAAGAGGGAGGAGGAGGGAGAGTGTGTCAATATATACATGAGAGAGAGAGAGAGAGAGAGAGAGAGAGTTTTTTAGAATAGTATTTAATGAAAAGAATTTGTGGAAAGGTAGAGTAATTTTAAAAACATTAATTGATGTGAATGGTTAGTTGTCATAATAACAATACCACTTCCTTTACTTAGAAAAAGTCTTCGGTTCAAACTCAGTATTAACATGGTTGCCTGTGTGTCTTATCCTTTTCTATGGGAAATGCCTTGGTTATGGGTAAAAATTTAAAAAATAATGTCAACTAAATTTTTTTTTAGTTTATGTAAAGTAATAAATTTATCTCATAAAAATGAATAAAGGAAGTATAATGAAACATGCTGCAATGTATCAAGCATGCTAAATAATTATGAACAATTTCAACTAAAGTACAATTACATAAAGTTCAAGATAAGCCATGATGTTCATAATTTGTCAACAATATGACTCCACAGACTTTTTATTTTATATTAATAATAATTAATGATAAATATATCTTCAATTTTTTATAGAAGCCTTAATAAGTATTCATAAATACACACGTTATAGGCAGAAAATGTTTAATAATATAGTACTGCGAGTGCATGAGATGGTATCAAGTAATAAAGTAATTTGTAAAGTATGGTTCCTAAAAAAACTTGATACCAACAACCTAGTTGAATATAATTGATTTTACATTTTTTTTTCTTAATTTGAGCAAAACACAACTTGGCAAACAGATTTAATGGAAGTAAAAGCTAAGGTATGATGAGAAAACAAATCCACTACAAAAAAAAAAATTCCAAAGACATTCTATTGCTGCCAAAATTATCAAAGTTTTGTTCTTAAAAAATTTTGGTGACAACTATCATTGTCATTGCCAAAAATACAAAATGTAGTTGATGAATGATTAAACTTTTAATAGCGATTATATGTTGCTACTTGATTGCTCCCTCAAGTGTATGAAATTACAATAATAAATTACTCAAAGTATTCTAAATGTCAAACTCACGGAAAAGTTGTGCTTTTACTAATTTAAAAAAATTAATAATTTGAGAAAAATAGATAAAATGAATTATTTGATAAGAATATAAATAATAAAAAAATAAAGAAAATAATGATGAGGGAAACATAATCACTTAAAGTGTTGGGCTTTAAAATTCACCTTATAAGTTGTTAGTTTCTACCATTTGAGTTGATTATTTAATCAATTACAGTGACAATTATTCTTAAAGTGTCTTAACATTTTCCAAATTATTAGTTCCTTTTAATTGGTATTGAATTCATTCTAACGATACCCAAACAACTAATTAAACTATAAAGTTATAATTTAAGTCACCATCAATTTTGAGAACTATCCTTAACCTAGTTATGTATGTATATTTCTCTAAATCTATATTCTCTCTTTACCTCTTAATGCATCAAAATTATCCATAAATTTGATTAAATGGTGGCTAGTTATAAAAGTAATATGAAGAACAATAGAAATAAATATAATTGAAAAAAGCAAAAACATGTAAATATAAAAACAAAGAGTCAAAATAATATAAATAGAAAACTAGCTTTCTAATTGGGCTACATTCCTACCCTAACTAAATAATTTATAAACATATAATAAAACTAATTAACACCATTCTAAAATCTCCAATCATAAAATGATCACATAGAAAATTAAGGAGTAGAAAAAAATAATTATGATTTGTAAAACTCTTCAATGATCTTGCTTTCAATCTTCCTAATGCTTCTAGGAGCTCTAAATGTCTTAGAGAGAATTCTTGAAGTATTCAAATAAGTGATTGGATGACTTCTCTTTTGATAGAGGGGAGTATTTATAATAAAAGTAAAGATCCCTTCTCTTCCCTAATTAATATAGGACTCTAATGTTTGTATTTATGTATGTATGTATGTGTGTATATATATATATATATTTCAATTGCTCCTTATCCTACGTCTTTTGTGCTGGCTTTTTTCCCCCTCCTTTTATTAAGTTAATCAATTCTCTCCTTCCTCATCAACGCACCTCTTCCTTCTCCATATGTAAAAGGTGATTTATTCTTCTTTTTTTCTCTCTTTTTATTTCCTTTTATATTTTACCTACTCAGCATAATGAAAAAAGTTATATGAATAGATTTTATAGTAAAATTCTTTCTTATCTTGTAATTAAGTGATATAAGGAAAATATGTAATTACTAACTGAATATAAATGAAATCTTAATAAATTAAATCAAATATAAAACAAAATATATACCTATTTAATTATAAAAAAATGCACTCATCACTACCAAAAGTGCTTTTAGTGGCCACAATTATCGTTGCTAAAAACAAAGACAAAAGCAGCGGCTAGCAATCACATATGGCTGCTGCTAAAAGATAACAATCTTTTAGGAACAACAAAGTGTCATAAAAAAAAATACTTTTTTAACCAGTAATTTCATATTTAAATTAATTGTACATATTATATCCCATAACAAAAATACCAAAATCCAACAATCAATAATCTAGCAACAAAATAATAACCTAAAATTAAAATACATGAATCCATACAACAACCATCTATATAACTTCTATCCAACTCAACAATACATACGAAATTCAACAATACAACTAAATTTATTCAATAGTTAAATTATTGAGAATTGCCACCACCAGTGTGAGCATCATTGGTTGGAATTGGGATTGGATTTGGAGGTGGACCCAGTGGTTGAGGTTGTCTTAAGAGGAAAAAATAAATTGGATTATAATTTATCTTATGAATAATAAATTAA